AGATTATCATGGCTTCCACAACATCCCATGTATTGCTGCTTTCTCACTTATGACTTCTTTTTCTCGTTTAACTTTATCGTTGTATATTTTATTGGACACACTTAACACATAACAAGACACTTTATACAAATCAGTACTTAAGAGCACGTAATGTAAGCTTGGGTGTGTGGGTGGTGTTATGGATAATGACTCGGAATTGTTAATTGGATTCCGAGTTCCAAATCTAGTTGGATTCTTTATATTCACATACGGGCAATTACTCTTGAAAGAGGTGTAAATTATTATCCACACAGATATGGGTTAATTTTTAAGACATGTATCAGTAAATCGATGTTATCTTCAAAAGCACAACATTTCCTACAATCTAAAATAATTTCTGGCTTTAAATTAACGTCAAAGCGTTTATAAGCCGTAAAACAACCTACTCAATCATAATCTGAATGGCGATTTTCATCTCGACTTGACGTTAGAGAACATTTTTTCTTTCCTTCTCAAGTTGTTGTTTATGTATTCAACTGACATACGGTTTTCTCAGACATAAACAGCCTACGTACAGTTCGGTCGACCACGTGTTTACGTGTCACCTGTAGTCATTGATATCGTTTGAAGCGCGGACCTGCACCCGGCAGATAGGATCCTATATTTCAAGTCAGCTCGACGAAACACCTGTCTTTTCTGAAGGACACTAAGAGTATAATCGATTTGTGGCAACATCTAGAGTGATTCATATCCTGCACACGTAAAGATAGTTTTTCCTTCATCCATTTGCACACTTAGGCAATTAGTTTATTCATTGTATTCCCCTTCTCTTCACTTCGATGTGATAAGAAATATAAAATTTACCAAGCTTTCTTAGCTACTTATATGTATGAAATGATTTAACTTTTACTTTCTTGATTATTGTCAACATCTTCATGGTTCATTATTTACATCATTCGGACTGTGGTCCTCATCTTTGTCGCCATATTTATTACAACGTTTCGGCCGTTGTACGCTCCGGCCTTCTTCAGGTGGTTGGGATGTCGAACTGAACCCTTTATTTCGCTCACTGAGTAGACTGTTCTAGTTCCACGTGCCATGTTTGATGGATATCAGTTATCAGTTATTTCCTGTTAATTTCCCTCTGAAAGTTCACCTTAACCGGGGATTGAACTCACACACTTTGGTTTCTGTCACTGGATCTCAGAGTCTAGAGACGTTGCAATATAAGGCTACAGAACCCAGTCTGTTCTGCTATTTACCCAGAGCGGGACGTAGAATAAGAGGATTAATACGATATATATATATATATATATATATATATATATATATATATATATATATATATATATATATATATATATATATATATATATATATATATATATAATTTCGCTCACTCTGTGCCATATGTCCTTGAGGATATCTGGGTATGAATTTCATTATTATAAACATAATGTCTTCAGCAAAATAACAGCAAAATTGCAAGATGAGCACTGGTAAAAAAAGGTTGTTGAAAACATTAGGTTTATAATACCTAGAAATTCAAACCCAGATGTCCTCAAGGACATATGGCAGAGTGTATAAAGACAGTGGTTAGATCCTAATCTATTTTTAGAATGTGAGTTCAATACCCGGTTAAGGCAGTGGAGAACTTTCAGAGGGAAATTAACAGGAAATAACTGATAACTGACATTCAATAAACATGGCACGTGGAACTAGAACAGTCTACCTCAGTGAGCGAAATAAAGGGTTCAGTTATATATATATATATATATATATATATATGGTATTAATCCTCTTATTCTACGTCCCGCTCTGGGTAAATAGCAGAACAGACTGGGTTCTGTAGCCTTATATTGCAACGTCTCTAGACTCTGAATTCAAAAACTACGGAGGCTCATTTGGGGAACTTGTAGCACACACATAGTACACCAGGTCTCTGTAATTGGTTCTTCAAAAAGTGTGGTTGGTTTTGCACAAAGCCTTCACTACCCTAATCAAATCATATATTCTGGTGTCTGGGCTGTCAGTTCCTAGGAACTCAGCTGCTTGATCTTCATACGTCGAATACGATGGGAGAGTCCACCATAATATATATATGTTTGTGTGTGTGTGCGTAAAGGTCACCATGAAAGCGCGGTTTAATAATGAAAAATCATTTTTAAAGCTTTAATTTTAATTCCAATCTGAAATATTAAATTTAATATTTCCAACAAACGAAGTACTATGCTGAATCTATATTGATTGGAAGAAGTTGTTTTTTTAACATTTCCATTTTTTTGATTTTGTCGCCATTTTCAGCCGATTGTTATAAAATGTAAATCACTTTATTAAAAAAAAATCTTCAAAAAATAAAATATAGTTTTCTGAAATTTTATCTGAGGAATATTATGCGATTTAAAGTATAATAAATCTAATATGAAATAACTATTATTTTTTAAAGTTAAAAATATCAGAAAAATGAATTTTAGTTTTAATTCCAAGCTGAAATATTAAATTTAATATTTCCAACAAACGAAGTACTATGCTGAATCTATATTGATTGGAAGAAATTGTTTTTTAACACTTTCATTTTTTTGATTTTGGCGCCATTTTTAGCCGATTGTTATAAAATGTAAATCGAATTATTAAAAAAAAAAGTCTTCAAAAAATAAAATATAGTTTTCTGAAACTTTATCTGAGGAATATTATGCGATTTAAAGTATAATAAATCAGATAAGAAATAACTATTATTTTTAAAGTTAAAAAAATCAGAAAAATGAATTTTTCATCTCACCGGTTAATTGTTTATTTATGTTGACAGGTTTATAACACAACAGTGACAGACGATGCCAAATAGATCATTATGTAATGTCGACGCCCACCAATCATAAACCTTCATTATGCAAAGTCCATTGTGCTGTATATCTTTTACTCTATAACAGGTTATTCTATTCTGATTCAGAGCCAGTCGCATGTCATCCATCACCATGTCTTGAAGACGATCAATGTTTTCCTCGGTGTTGGCAGTTGCAGGACGTCCAGACCTTGGGTCATATTCAAGACTCTACCAACCAACTCCTAAATTAAGCAGCCCAATTTTACACTGTTGATAAACCTGAAGCAGCAACACCTGATCTAACAACAATGTCAGCACGAATGTCTTCTGGTCTAAAATTTTCTTCTACACATACATGAGAAAACCACGGTGAAAAGTTTGCTCATTTTCAAAAAGTAGTCGGTCCTAGTTACATTTTTTTTTTCTTTTGGACAGTCATATGTCAATTTAACTGGAAATAAAAAATGCCGTTTTTAATAAGCAAAAGCTGAAATTAATCCATGCAAGAGATTTAACAGTTCTAGCGGAATTCCGTCATAATCAGCCAATGAACCTTTCAGCCCACTCAGTTGTCTGTTATATACATGCATGTAATTATATACATGTCTTTAATTACACACACACACACACACGCACACACACACACACACACACACAGACACACACACACACACACATATATATATATATATATATATATGTATATATATATAGATGTAATGTTTGTCATCAAACAAAACCCTCAATTACACACATATTTATTAATGTTTTAATTAGGGCACATGTTTATTTAATGAAAATATAAAATAAACATACGCAGAGAGAAATTAGATAGATATCGATATCTGCATGCACCTAATATATATGTATGTATGAATGTATGTATGTACGGATATATATATATATATATATATATATATATATATATATATATATATATATATATATATATATATATATATATATATGAATGTATGTATGTATATATATATATATATATATATATATATATATATATATATATATATATGTATGTACGGATATATATATATATATATATATATATATATATATATATGTGTATGTGTGTGTGTGTGTGTGTGTGTGTGTTGTTTGTTTTGTTTGTCATCAAACAAAACCCTTAATTACAGCAATATTTATAAATATTTTCGTGCATATATATTTTTTAATGAGAATATCAAATAAACATATATACAAAGAAATATATATAGAAATACATATATATGATTATAATAATTATATATAAAAATGTTATATATATATATGTATATACATATACCTATACCTATACCTATACCTATATATATATATATATATATATATATATATATATATATATATATATATATATATATATGCGTGTTTGTATTAAAAAGGATCGCTTTTCCCTAATATTTTGTATTATTTTATTCTGCCTCTTAGCGCTTTATTTTTCTTTCTCTTTTACATTCCGTTACAGGTAATTTGTTTGTTTTCTTTTTTTTTTCTTTTTGCTTTCTTATAGCTTCTTTTTTCGTTATTCAGTTTTTATCTTCTTTCTTTTGTAATTTCCGCTTTATCGGCTTTCAAGTCATTCTTCATAATTCAGGTTCATGAATCCATTGCTATTGATTTTGTCGCGGACAAACACATTACGCTGCATGCTCTTCATCATCCGACAGACAGCCATAAAATTGATACACCTGCGAATAGTGGAATGTTTATCTTTTGTTTGTTTTTGTTATTTCTGTTCTTTATTCTTTTATCATTTTTCTTTTCTTCCTTTCTTCATCATTTTCTTTCTATCTTTTCTTCTTTCTTTCGTTCTTTTTTATCAGGTTTCTTTTTCTTTTCATTTATTCTGAGTTACTTTTTCTGTAAATATTTTTTCCTTCATTGTTTTTCTTTTATTTATTTTTGTTATTTCAACTGTTTCTTTCTTTCCTAAACTATTTTATTTATATTCATATTTCGTTATCATTTTTGTTCATATTTTCTTTCTTTCTTTCTTTCTTTCTTTCTTTCTTTCATTCTTTATCAATATATCCTTTCATTTTTTTCATTCCGTCGTTAACTCTTTTTCTTTTTTCTAATATTTTTCTTTATTTATTCCTTTCTTTCTTTCTTTCTTTCTTTCTTTCTTTCTCCGTCTATATTCTTTTCGGCATTTTAAAACAGTTTTCATCCAATACCTTTCTCTATGTCTTTTTTGTTTTTGTTTTACTTTAAACTGTATCTATATTTTCCTTTATCTTTCTTTCTTTCTTTCTTTCTTTCTTTCTTTCTTTCTTTCTTATTTACATTCTTTCTCTTTTCTGTTTTATATATATTGTATTTCTTTTACTTTTTCTCGAAGTTTACATTTCTGTTTTTTCATTCTTACATTTCCATCCCTATCTTATTATTTTTTTTTTCTCTCTGTTGAAACTTGACTAATGCATGTAATAATAATGCAACACAAAATGTACTTAGAACAAAATGTATTGAAACAAGAAAGTGTACACAATATTTACATATAGTCTTTTGTATATTCCTGGGAAGACCGTTCCTGGAGAATGTGTTGACTTAGTCGCAGTCGGGCAGAGTCTCTAGATTGAATCTTTTGATTCCTCTCCCGTCTTCCCGGTACCAACCATATTTATATGGTCGGTACTCCACTATGCAAATTAGGTGGATCCTACCACAACACTCTCTTTAATTGTTTATGCTTCATAAATTATTTGATGGATTATTGCTGTTTTTTTTTTCCTTGCAATTCCTTCTTTTTCGTAATATTTCACTCTTTCCCCTTCTTTTTCCTATTTTTTTCTTATGTACTCGCTTTCTCTTTATCTGTTTGCTATATTTTTATTTGTTCTATTTATTTATTGTTCATTATGTTTGTATTTCAACTACATTTCTTATTTTTGGTTTTCATTCTTTCGATTTTTTCTGGTCTATCAGTAACATTTTTATATTTCTTTCAGTCTTATTTTTACTTGCAGCAAAGCGTTGATATTTTTCAAATAATTTCCTATATTCTTGGTATCATGTTTTCTCATTTTTTTATATAATTATTTTATTCTTTTTCTCATTTTTAGTTTATTTCAGAATTTATATTATTCGTTATTCTTGCCTTTTTTTTTCTTTACATTTATTTTTCTTTCTTTCCTTATTTTTTTCGTTTTTTTTTTCATATCTTTTCACTCATTCCTCAGATTTGTTTGCCTATTTTCCCTCTCTTTCTTTTTAATTCTCGTTTCCATTTCTTCATTTTATTCTTATATTCCTTCTTCAATTTTATTCGGATTTTATTTCTATTTTTTTCCTCTTTAACTCTTTTTAACTCTTTCTTTTTCTTTTTTATATATAACATTTTAGTTCTTCCTTTTTTTCTGGATATCCTTCTCTTCATACATAGTTTGCATTATTCCTTTTCCAAAATCTTATTTTAATTTCCTATTTTCAAACATTTTCATCTATATCTTATATTTTTCTTGCTTTTTCCCCTTATCTATTTAAAAAATTATGATTCATTATTCCTGTCTTTTTTAATTTTTTTTCCCTCTTTCATTCATTCATTTATTGAACATTTCTCTCTGTCCTTCTTTCTTTATCTATTTCTCTTCAAATTATTTCCCTCGTTCTCTACATTATTTTGAACTCTCATTCACCTTTTCCTATTTTCTTTATTTCTTTTTTGCATCCTATCCTCGCTTTCTTTCTATCTGTTGTTATATTCACTGTCTCTTTCTTTTACTTTATTTATATGATGTTTTCTAATTGTTCTTTCTTTTTTCCCTATTCTCGATTTCTTTCTATCTACTGTTATATTCACTAACTATTTATTTAATTTTATTTATATGTTGTTTTCGAATTATCGTTTCTTTCTTTTTCGTATTCTCGCTTTCTGTCTATCTGCTGTTATATTCACTGTCTCTTTCTTTTCCTTTATTTATATGTTGTTTTTGAATTATCATTTCTTTCTTTTTATTTATTTTCTATTGTATTTTATTTTTAATTTTCAACTTTTTTCTTATTTTCTGTTTTTTACGGATCTACATATTGTTTAATGTTATTTCTCTGTGAAACATTTGCTTTTATTTGTTACATTTTTTTAGTATATTTCATTCATTTGTTTTCTTTACTGTAAAAAGGTATATTCATTTTTATTTCTAGCGTTTTATTTATCTCTTTCTCTTTCTCTTTCTTTCTTTCTTTCTTTCTTTCTTTCTTATAATATCCTACTTTGCATATTCTTTATTCTCAGGAAGTGCTGTTCGTTTTTTTTCCTTAGTTTGTTCCTTCCTTCCTTCCTTCCTTCCTTCCTTCCTTCCTTCCTTCCTTCCTTCCTTTCTTTCCTTCCTTCCTTCCTTCCTTCCTACTTTCCTTCTTCTTTCCCTCATTCCTTCCTACTTTCCTTCCTCTCATTCCTCCCTTCCTTTCCTTCTTTCCTTCCTCCCTTCCTCCCTCCCTTCCATCCATCCTTCCTCCCTCCCTCCTTCCTTCCTTCCTTTTTTTTCTTTTTTCCTTCCTTCCTTCCTTCCTTCCTTCCTTCCTTCCTTCCTTCCTTCCTTCCTTTCCTTCCTCCTTCCTCCTTTTCTTTCCTTTTTCCCTCCTTCCTTCCTTCCTTCCTTCCTTCCTTCCTCCCTCTTTCCTTCCTTCCTTCCTTCCTTCCTTCTTTTTTCCTTCCTTTTTCTTTCCTTTTTTCCTCCTTCCTTCCTTCCTTCCTTCCTTCCTCCCTCCTTCCTTCCTTCCTTCCTTCTTTCCTTCCTTTCTTCCTTTCCTTCCTTACTTTTTCTTTCCTTTTTCCCTTCTTCCCTCCTTCCCTCCTTCCTTCCTTCCTTCCTTTTTTCTTTCTTTTTCCTTTCTGTTTACATTTTTCTCAAAAGTCTTATTGTGACATTACTTGTCGCCTTCTCTTAGGTATTATTTCTCGTATCTTTCTTTCTTTCTTTCTTTCTTTCTTTCTTTCTTTCTTTCTTTCATCTTTCTACAACGTTATTGTCCTTAATATACATTGCTTATCTTTCTTCTTCTCCTTTCCTCTTTTTCTCATTGCTTTTTTTTCTGACATTCTTACTTTACTTTTACCCGAATCTTATCTTTTTATTCATCTGGCTCATTCTTACTTTCCGTTTCATCTTTCTTTGTGTTTCTTTTTCACTTGTCCCATTATTTCTACTTCTTTCTACATCGCTTGTTTTGCCGTTCTTTCACAATGCATATCTTATACAGCTTTTTTTTTTCAAACCCTTACCCTATTGCACGAAATGAAATAAGTGAAAATCTGCAAGTGACAGGTATATCCAAAAAAAATGTCTCTCTAATCTATTTATTTGCTTGCCAGGAGGTATTTTGTTAGAAAACACGCAGATGCAGAATTCGACACAAGTTTTTTTAGTTTTTTTATTTATTTACATATGATTTCTTACACGATATCATTTCATTTCCTTTATTTCATCCGGAGACGCCATTATATGCTGTTCTGAGTACAGCATTTGATACAACATGTGGTATAGGCTTGAGTTCTTCTGTCTGTCCCAAGGAGAGGTGAGACATCATCCTTCATATTTCTCCTTTGTTTGCAACCAGATTATTTTCTTTTGATCCGGATTTTTCAGTCTTCCTACCTTTTGGTTCCTTTTGTTTCTCCTTATATTTTTAATTAATAATTTACCATATATTGTCGCTTATATTTACTAAAGGCCAAATGTCTTTCGCAAAATGTATTGCAATCAATGGCGGCCTGGCCAGAGTGTCAGCTTGCCCGATGGCAAGTGGACCCCTGATTAAGTGGGCCTTCTATAACAAAAAAAATGCAATAAAGTAAGGAATACGAATTACTGTTTTAGTAATAAAAATGAGTAAGAACTTTACAAAATGATCTGCAAATTATCGATTATTCAAGTCCGATGTGAGAGGACATTTTCAATGCTAAAGTTCATAAAGACAAGGGTAAGATATTCGCTGTCTGAGGATAATTTAGAATCATATATGTTGCTGTCTATCGAAAAGTAATTGTTAGAAAAATTGAATGCGGAAGCAATTATTGGCAGATTTGGACAATCCTCTAGTGAACACAAACAATTGCTCGATGCGCTTTTATGCTATTTAACTGTCTGTTAATGTGTAAATCATGCAATAATCTATTTCAAAATACCAACCAATTACATACATTTTTAGTCGTAAACATAAATAAAAATATAATTTTTTTTTATTTATATTTGTTATATACTCTCAGTAATATGTGCAAGTATATGTAATTACTAAGAAATAGAGATTTGTCCCTTCTTTACAGAACGGAAAATCTGCATTTTCTATAATCTTTCTATTTTCTAAAAATACATATGTAAATATGTATTTTTAGAAAATATTGTTTATTCTTTATGAAAATAATATGACAGTATTATGGCTGCGTGTAGGCTCCCTTTCTCTGCTGTCAACCAATATTTTAAACCGAGTCCGCCACTGAATGTAATAGTAATTTCCCTTGCTTTTTTTTTTTAAATATATTCATAATATCGGGTAAATATTTCACTTATCTACTAGCAAACGACCGAATATACGTTATTTAATTATGCTTATTTGTAATTTATTTATTGCTGAAATATTTTAATAACTTCACAAGTCATGTACAGCTTTTCATATTTTTAAAATAAAAAGTTTTGTCTGTTGTCTGGAGATTGAACTATCACAGCATCTTTTTTTTTTTTTTTTTTTGCAGTACCTGCGAATTGTCATGTTTTGTGGGTGAAGAGTGTTGCTATCTCCATGGTTCTGAATTCATCGTTTTCTTCCAACTAAACTGGTTGTCAACCGAGGTTGGAAAATCCAGTCTCTCCTGATACGTAATTATAACTGATTGAATAACAGTTGGTTTTATGCTGTTTCCAAAGTTGATTTCATGTTTTTTTTTCCGAAGGCGTTTCTACGAGGAAGTATTGCCAAGTATTGCACAACATTTGATAAAGTGTTCGAATGTATTATTCAGCGTAAAGATTACGCGGTAATCACAACACAAATATCCTGTGTAATAATGAAACACGAGTAAAAATCACAAAGCTTATTAACAGACTGACACAGCAGGTTATCTATCAATTAGCTGCAGGCGATTTATTCGAAATGTACGTTTGTGGCATGTAAATCCATGAATCCTTGTATATGAGAAGTCATTATATTATATCATTAGATATGGTAATGATCTGTATCTTGTTATATTATCAAATAATACAGAATATTACCAAGGTTATCATATTCCATAACATTCCGTTATGCGCATTATGTGTTTTAATATACTTAATGTATATAATATTTATTTCCGTACATTATATAAGTTCCAAAGGTTGTCATAGTGGAGACGAAGTTTCGGACACGGCTGTGTCCTTCATCAGCCGGGGCGTGAAATAAACAGAGATTAACCAACGGTACAGATTAACCAACGGTAGTTCTTGAGGCTGGGTAGAATTTTTTGTAGTTGGAATTATATATATATATATGTGTGTGTGTGTGTGTGTCTGTGTGTGTGTGTCTGTGTTCTTTATATTTAGGCATCAAATCTTCTTTCAATCAAATACTATTGAAAATGTCGTATATTTCGTGCCGATTAATTTTAATCATCGACTTTTACAAAAAAAAGTTAAAAATAATACTATTTATGCAAGGAGGAAATTTCGTCCGAAATACTCTGGAGTTTATTTCGAAAGAGAAGTACAGTTAATATGACTTCCTTCAGTCATCATCAAGATTCGGAGACAATTGTTGAGTTTTGAAATGGTGTAGCAATCCTCTTTTAATTCAGTCTACGCCCAGTACTGTAATGGTAGGTAGATCTCATCATTTTACCGTTAAATTTGTTAGTTCTATACTAACAGTTGCTTTTCTTGCACATCTATCTTACGGAATCCTGCTCTGACTTCTGGATTTCCAGTAAAATTTAATAATGAAACACTTAACCGCAATGTCAGTTGTCATCTTCTGTCGACTTGAAACATGTTTTATTTTTTTTTTTTTTTTTTTTTATTTATAATGATTTTTCCTTAATTCCTTCACTGTCAATAACTGCTTGCATCGCAATGACTTCATCATCTTGCTTGGGTGAAATATTTTTAAAAAAGAAACTGTTTCTCTGCATAGAGAAAGATATACGTTTATCCGATAATTATTTTCTTAGATTTTGAAAGGTGAATTTCGCTATTGTTATGAGACTACATATTTTTTTCACTCTGCCGGATCTCTGTTGCTCGTGACCAGGCATCTTGACTCAAGTCACTATCTCACCGACGTGACGAGTCCACCCATTTTCCTTTTCTACAAATATTTTCATAGCAATTTTTCCTTGTGCCCTGATTACATGAATTTAAGCGTGATAATCGATTGGCATCTAGGTCCCACCATTCTACTGTTCAAATAGCTACATGCAACCACCACGTCTACTCCAAAAATCTCTTTTCTCACACTTCCAGTCTGTGGAACTCATTTCCTTTTAATTTCTACCCTGATAACTACAACCTTCAAAAATATGGATGCAACGTCAATCGCCATCTACTGTCTTCATGAATCCCATTCATCTTATGCCCTTTACCCAATTCTTCATGTTACCTGTCTTCTCTTTCACTTTCACTCTCTGTAACTCTCCTGCGTACTAGCGACATCCCTGCCTTGCTTAAGGTGAATGATTATATATATATATATATATATATATATATATATATATATATATATATATATATATATATATATAGTTAGATAGATAGATATTAGCGTGGTTTCTGTATTTGTTCTTAAACTCGACGAAAGTTTTCTTAAATTTAATAGCAATTGCATTCAGTCAGTTATATGTCATGCGTGATACACGCGTAGGCGATCATGTATATTTTGATACATGACTGTCGAGGCAGATTTTTTTTCTTTTCTGCGGTAGAGCAGTTGTCATCCAAGGCTATAGAACCCGTTGATGATTCATACCTTTCCCACGTATGTGAATGTAATGGAATCGACTAGAATTCGAACTTTGCTCTCCGATTCCTCAATCCGTGCCTCCTTCGTGATATATATATATATATATATATATATATATATATATATATACAGATGTATATTATGTAATCGACGTAAAGGTGTCAGTCAGCTAAGCTAATAGGACCGGACCAGCACGTTCGATTTTAATGCAGTGGTGAGGATTGTGTGTCACAAGGTACTCAAAGAACCTACGCAGGTTTTGAATTCAGACTTTTCCTTCCATAAAGAAGTTGACAACGAAGTATATAGAACACAGTCTGTCCTGCTATTTACCCATAGCTGGAGGGCGAAGATGAGGATTAATATTTCCCCAAGGGTATTAGGATGTAAGTGAATGTAATGGATTAGACTAATATTCCGACACGGCTCTCTAATTCCTCAATCCTAGCGGCATATATATATATATATATATATATATATATATATATATATATATATATATATATATATATACAAGTATATGATTGGTGACATTCAACATCATCATTGATAAGACACCGGAGGTGTTGAAACAAAATAGCTATTTTTGTAGTGATTATATAACATAATTATGTTATAATTTTTTTAATAAATAATTATATATATATATATATATATATATATATATATATATATATATATATATATATATATATATAAAAAACAAAAAAGTTGCAAATTAAAAAATAATAGTGTTTTTTTTTAAATTATTTATTTATTACATTTCAGATCGTCCTCGATCTTTCTTCAGATATAACTGTTTTTAGAGGTTTGTTTACAAGTAACGTCCGTCGCGAGATGCGGACGTCACGGGATGTGGAACGCCACTGTGTTCGAATATTTTTAACGTCATTCTAACTTTAATAATATTTTAGATGTTGTTTAATTTTTTTTTTAACTATATCTAAAAAAATGTTTAACTATTGAAATATTTATAAAGATTTAAAATACCCAAGTCTTTATTTAGCACTAGTTTATATGTATTTAATTTTAAAATCCAGTATTTTTCTTTTTTTCTGCGTATGTATGTGGAACTGAATATATATATTTTTCGGATACAACAATACATATATCTTCGTTGTCCTCTTATTACTGGGAGTAAAAACAAGAACAACATCTATTCCATACCTGAAGATGTCTGTAGGAACAGACGAAAGCTTGTAGTAAAAATAAGAACTAATGCAACAGAAATTTATAAAAACAAGGATCTTTTCATTCATAAACAGGTTCGAGGTTTTTGTATATTATTTGTATTGTTCGCGACGATGGATTTCTCGCCAATTAAATCATTAACCTTTGTATTTGTTTTTTGTATGAATAATTCATGAATTTGTAAATATATATATATATATGTGTGTGTGTGTGTGTGTGTGTGTATATATTTTTTTTAACATACAACGTGTGTTAGCATATATATATATATATATATATATATATATATATATATATATATATATATATATATATATATATATATATATATATATATATATATAAGATAAAATATATGATAAATAGGAAAAAGTTTTCTTGCGAAGCTTTTAGTCCATTAAGACTTCATCGGATCAAATTTATTATTTTGGTGCGACTACATATTAACAGGACGTGTGTTTTTTTAATTAGTTTTTTTATTATTATTATCTAACCGACTTCATTTAGATTCCATTTTTTTTATTCCATCACTTTTGTTTGTGAATTTCCCACTCTGGCTAATTTCTGCCAGAAATGGTGAATATTGTAATAGACCATGTTGTCTTCCAAGGCTATAGAATCCATTCTGTCCAGCTATTTATCCATAGCTAGACGACGAAGAAGAAAATTATTACTTTTCCCAAGGGTATTTGCACGTAAGTGAATGTAATAGATTCGGCTGGAATTCGAACTCGGCTCTTCGATTCCTCAATCCGAGCCGCTTTTTGTACAGTTCCTTCTCCAAAGAACATTTTTTTCACTTTCTATTATCCTATTCTTTTTTATCCATTTTTGTTTTATTTAGCTTATCTGGTGAATAGTTCCTTCCATTCGCCAGAATTTTTTTAGACTCTTCTTTCTGTTAGTCTCAAAAATATTTATTTCTCTTTTTCTTTCTTCCTTTGATTTTTTTTTTCTCTGCCCTTCTTTTTTCACGTATGCGTGTGTGGATTTAAACATGGACAGGAATCTAGGTGGAACTATTTCTTTTTATATACATAATCGCAATCATTTTTGCTTTCAGCCTCTGGGGCTGTGACGTGGGTCAGCACCGAAGGTAAACTATTTATTCTCTCGAAGAACTCTTGACTCAAAGAGATTAGATTCGTGACAGAACCACAAAATTGCGACCTTCATTACTCGTTCAAAGCCCCAAAGACTATTACTTTGTATATATATATATATATATATATATGGAGAAAAAGATCTACATTTTGTTCCCTGAATTTTTAAAAAATAAGTTTGCACGCAGATGTGATGATGAGAGTTTAGATTCGCACGGTTATGGGATTTTGCAAGTCCTCCTTATTCATGACACACACAATTAACGAAAAAGGCTAATTTAGGTACAAATATAAACATTCACATATTAGATGATTCGTTTTCATTGGTAGAGAAGACAAATAGTGGCTGGGAAATATGAGCTTTCATAATATAGTTTAATGGTTTTTAGTCATTTACTGTAACGTTTGGAGAGTTAAACTAACACACCTTTACTAGTTTATGAAAATCTTCCAAGAACTTGGAGCGATTTAATGTGAATTAATTTGAAACGTCTAATGATTTGTTTCTTTTTTCCTTCAGATTTGGCGGACATTTGGGCGTTATTCTTTTTTCACACATAATTACCCATGACTTAAATAACTTGATCCAACAGAGAAATAAATAAATTTTCACCAATAACACTGATTTATTTACTGCTGACTTTGATCCGTCTTTATGAAACACCCTTTAGTTAAATTGATATTCATTTGGCGCTCAAATATTTTCCCTTGTGCCAGAATTAAATTAGTAAATAATCTGTTCTACATTTGAGATAACCAGTAGTTATCACGCTTATACATTTTACAGTTTAGTTAATATATGATTATTGGAGTAGGGTAGCAAGCATTTCATAGCTAAATTGTAACTAACATAAAATTTAAGTAAAGATATTGTAAATAACGTTTAATAAGATATCAAAGGATAATAAATTATGTCAAGGATATCATTAATGTTAGTTGATTTTGATAACAATATGTGAAATTTTAGTACCGTTTGATAAGAATATGTGAGTGTAAATCTGATAAAAATATATAAGATATGAATACAGATTGATAAGAATATTTTAAATATTGATGAGAATATGTGACATGAGTGTAACGTTTGAGTATTATATGTAAAATGCTAGTGAGGCCTGTTAAGAATATGTGAAATCGTGCTTGATTTTAGTGTCCCCGAACTGCAAATCGCATTTCGGGCTCATTCTTTTACTGATGACCATGCATTCTGTCTTCTCACATTCACTAAAACAAAAAGAAAGGATGAAAGATGAATTAACAATAAAACAACGTTATCCTCATGTTGACATTCTTAAAGAATCTCAGCGACGAATACATCAGTTCGAGGCTTGTATCTATTTAGCGAACGGTTCATTCATTTTGTTATTAAAAGCAGTAACAATCTGTAATATTTATCATTAATTTTCCAGACAAATATTATTCGGATTTCAAACAAACCTGAAGCAAACATGCGATTAAAGAAAGAACTGTAGGCGATTTCATGCAGTGTTTTAAGCGCGAATTAGGGAATTGTTGACTAACATTTTATCCTGTTGCTATTACTTCCAGCATTCAAACAAATATTGGATAGGAGAAATATAGTAGAAATATGAAGAATGAAATATAATATACAGTGGGTAGCAAAAGTATTTAACTCATTGGTTTTTCTTACATATCTCAAAAAATAACAGATCAATTTCAACAAAACTTATAGGAAATATATAAACGAACATTGTCGATCAAAACCTAAAAGGAAAAATTTAAAACCACTGTTTTGAGAAACATTTATTAACAATAAATAAAATAACCCATATGCAAAAGTATTTAACACACTTTACTAATATTTAGTCCAGTAGCCTCTGTTCTGCTTCACAGCCTCCAGTCGTTTCCCGTAGTTTTCAACTAGTTTCTTGAAGGTACTTGTTGGTATTTTGACCCATTTCTCTTCTCAAAGTTTCTTCCATTTGTTTGAATTCGATGGATTTCTTTTATGAACTCGTAACTTCAATATTTTCCACAAATTTTCGATTGGATTTAAATCCGATAATGTTCGTTTAAATATTTCCTATAAGATTCGTTGAAATTGATCTGATATTTTTTGAGATATGTAAGAAAAACCAATGTGTTAAATACTTTTGCTACACACTGTAAATACTAAAATAAATACACATTATAACCAAAAACGTTTGTGGCTTCTCTCTTTTTTAAAAAGATACATTTTGTTCACGTTAGAACAACAATAGCCTATATATATATATATATATATATATATATGTGTGTGTGTGTGTGTGTGTGTGTAGTGGTGGACTCTCGACGTATGAGGGTCAAGCAGCACAGGAACCAACAGCCAGACACCAGCACATATGATTTGATTATAGTGGAGAAGGTATTGTGCAGAACCAACCAAACTTTTTCGCCGAATACAGAAATCTGCTGCAATACGAACCATAAGGTCCCTAAAGGACCCTCCACTGGTTTTGAATTCAGAATTGTCCTTCTCCTAAACCTGACATCCAAAGGTATACAACCCAGTCTCTCTTGATATTTACACATAGATGGTGGGCGAAGATGAGGATTAATACTTTTCCGTAGTGTATAAGCACAGTAGTGAATGTAATGGAATCGGCTGGAATTTGAAGTCGGCTCTCCAATTCCTCAATCCGAGCAACACTATATATATATATATATATATATATATATATTTATTAAAGACATATTTTTATGTTTAACGTTGTTATTTTATAGATACAAGTATTTAAGCAAATGCTCTGTTTATGATAAACAGTATTAAATAACATTTACCGGCCTGAATGTCCGAGAAATTTTCGTTCTTTGACAGGATTCGAACCTGCATCCTATACGGAACCGTCATATACGCTGACGTGCCTTTACCGCTTGAGCTACAAAGAACCAATCGGTAGACAAGGTCGAATTTACTGCTTATAAACTCCAACTTTCCATGAATCTCGTACATTCATAACTGCTCTGGCGTATCGAATGTAAACAAATGACGTCATATATTAAGAAATGGACAAGGTCCGACAATTTATTTATTAAAGACATATTTTTATGTTTAACGTTGTTATTTTATAGATACAAGTATTTAAGCAAATGCTCTGTTTATGATAAACAGTATTAAATAACATTTACCGGCCTGAATGTCTTGTCTATCGATTGGTTCTTTGTAGCTCAAGCGGTAAAGGCACGTCAGCGTATATGACGGTTCCGTATAGGATGCAGGTTCGAATCCTGTCAAAGAACGAAAATTTTCTATGAAAATTTCTCGGACATTCATATATATATATATATATATATATATGTATAAAGGGGTCTGTGTGCAAATTAAATGGACCAGTGTCACAAAAAATTAATTTCAATTCCGAACAACAAGTGCAAGTTTTGTCATGCAAAGTAATCCCCCATCGAGTCTAATGCAGGTTTCCGTCCGTATCCGCCACACTTCTATGCACTGCTGGAAGGTTTCTTCTTGGATGCCACACAGCTACGTCGTTACGGTCCTTTTGAATGTCTCTACGCCTTCAAAAAGCGACGCTATGATGATCCGTTTGAGCATGGATAAACAAAAAAAATTGCTGCATGTATACATTGTTCCAGAATGAGGAGGTTCTTCCAATACCGGCGATGTTCTTCTCGGACAGAAAGTGCCGGATGCTCAGTGCACTGTGGGCAGATGCATTATCTTAGTGAAGAGCAGGTGAAAAAATGCAATGGAAGCGGAAAGCTAAAATTACAGTTATCTACTCTCAGGATATCACGTTAGAAGTGATTCCACTTATCCCTCTTTCGCCCTTATCTCACACAGCACACCCAGTGTCGTTAGTTTTCAGTCTTTGTCTATCTGTCTATCTATCTATCTATCTATATATCTATCTATCTTATTACGCTAAATGTTATTTTTAATGGGTATCCATATTTTATTTTTCGCCTTGTTTTTTATGTTTTGATTTATTTTAAATAGAATTAATTGCATCTACCTGACTTTGCGTTCAAGAGAATTGATGAAAATCTGCTCCCACCACAGGCTTCGAAAATAAGATATGAGCTCAAATATCTACTAGTAATATCGTTTAAAATAATGGGAAATAAAGTCGAATTTAAAATAACATTTAGTAATTTTTTCTTAATTATATATATATATATATATATATATATATATATATATATATATGTATGTATAGTATGTGTGTAATTAGGCAGCATCTTTTCATTTATACACGTTTCATTAAATAATATAGACAAGTGTTTTTTCATAACATCTGATAAGTTTAATAACATTATCATTGAACGAAGAAAGAAATTCACAATATTGATCCATATTTTTTTTAAATACAATCTAAGCTTTCGGCTTTCATAAGCCATTTTCAAAGATGTCAATTACAACATATTAAGCAATATACGGACAAGACAGTGATGATATATATTAAATGGATAGATAGAATTGTGATAATTTTTACTCTGGTTGGCAGAAAGAAACGAAGTGGCATTAAAATTTTGTAAACCACTGAGTGCTATTTATAGTAAATATAATTGAATAAAGAAAACGGTTCGAATTAACAAGGTTACCGATTACGCAGACCGCATTAGAAGGTCAGAAAGTACAATGTTTGAATGTTTCAGTATATTGCAGCCACGATAAAATTATTTGTCTGCATTGCCAAGCATTTGATGTTAACAATAATCCTGAAATTAACCGTTTCCATGCCGAAAATATTCAGTATTCATTCACCGGACAGTAAACTTTACTGTCTGTTTGAAATTTTCATAATATCTTTATTGTAAGACTTTTTTTCAGGAATTAAAATGTCTGCTATATAGTGTCATCAATATTTCTCGTCTTTATATGAGTTTCATTTAAATGTTGATTTTATTAATGTAAAAACCAAAGTTTTTTTTTTTATTGTATTCGTATTTCTGGTTGAGTTATATCTGCTACTCATTTCGGTAGTTGTTGTCTGAAGCCTTCAAGTTTGTTTTATAAAGTTCCTGTGATTAAAGAAAAGATATTCTGTAGCACAAATCTACAAGTGTCTTTTTTAAGGCCACAGTTTGCTTAGCCAAAGTTTCAGAAAATTCTTAAAACTCCGTGTCAATTTTACCAGTTTTCCTACCGTCAAAAATACATTTACTTATGTTTCATGTATATATTCGTTTCAAGCCATTTTAATCATTGCTCCGAGATTTTATATATATATATATATATGTGTGTGTGTGTGGCTGAGAGTTTAGACATTTTTAAACTACTTGGACGCCATGGAAGACATCAATGTCACATATTGCCAACTTTTGCTGAGAAGACTGGCTTTTGTTATTTGATAAACGATGTTGGTCTTATGTCGCCCCGGGAAAGGATATTACGAAAAAAAAAAGTAACACATATGATGTTGCTACTTTAGATACGTAAGAAATATATTTGTTGGAATAAGCAGGCAAAGTTCTAGCGAAAGAAAGAAAAGAAAGAAAAGTTAATATGTTGTATATCAGAAACAAGTTAGAAAAAAATGAATTTTTTACCCAAGAAAAAAAACGATTTTAACAAAAGAAAATAAGTGATACAGTTGCAAAAAAGAATTTAAAATTTAAAGTAGGGTAGAAAAAGCGGGAAATATTGTTAAGGAAGAAAAAGGTAGTAAAAATTAATACAGAAATCTGTTAAAATCGAATGAAAAAGTCTATCCGATACGGAAAGCGTGAAGAGAAAGTAAAATAAAATAACAATAATTTAAACTTGAGAATTATGACTTGAGTTTCACTTCTCTTGAATAATATATGAATTTACAAAATCTATTTTTATTTGTCTGCCACTGAAATTCCTCAATAGACCTGAAGTTAAAAAAAAAAAATTCGCATAAAAGAAGATATTAACAATTTCTAAATCTTTACCGACAAACGCATGAGGCAATGGCGTCGGTTTATAAGACGAAGAAGCATCTTGTAAAAAAAACTACACCATTATGAATTTCCTGGCGGCTTAAAATCTAAATTCATTGTCCAGTGCATTTAATCAATACGAGTTTTGCTTTTGGAGCGCAGTTTTTACTACTATTTTCTCTTCTTTTTTTTTATTTTATTGATATTGGCATTTTCTTCTTCTAGGCTGTGTTGTGTAATTAACTCGTTATACGTTTCTCTGAAGATGGCACAACTAATGCCCGGTCACTGACTGTTACAAAACAAGAAAATTAGAGAACACTTCAACAGCTTCTCGAAGCACATTCTGAATTGAGAAAGAAAACCAGGAGAAATTTCGTCGCGCGAGGTGGTCATTCATTTATAGTGCTCGCGTTATAGCTTCCTATTAAATAATGGCGGACCAGCTCAGTAGTGTGGATGAGGTAATTGGAACCTGTCTCATGATAAAGATAGTTTTCCTCTGAGCTATTGCTGGAACACAAAGGCTGACCAGAAAAAGTAGTTTCTGGAAGGCTGAACGGGCAGAAGTTATTGCAGATTTGGAAATGAGGCGTGTGAGCTTGCATGAAGAGATTTGGACGTGTGTCATGGAGTAAAAGAAAAAAGGAAATGATCAGGAAAGTAAAAAAGGGGGAGGGATGAGGAAAAAGGAAGTAAAAGAAGAAATCTATAAATCATTAATATAGAAGAACGAAAACATTAGTAATGGAAATAATGAAGGGGAGAGTAAATATAAAGGAAAGAAAAACGGAAAAGAAAAAAAGAAAGAAGAAAAAAGACAGAAACAACGAAAGTTGTAATAGAAAAAAATATTAAAAGAAAGAGAAATAAAGGGATAAGAGTAAATGATAAAGAAAAAGGAGAAAAGGTATGAAAACTAAGAAATGATAAAGTAAATTATAAAGAAGGAAGAATAAAAAAAACAATAAAAAAAAGAATAAAGAAAACTATGAGAAAAATAAAAGTATAGGAGAAAAGAATAAATGATGAATAAAAAATATAAGAAAACAAAAATGAAACGTAAAAAAAAATAAATAGAAAGAAATGATAAAAGAAAAAGAAAAAAGAAAATCTGAAAGATAAATGCTAAAAGTGATATGAATAAATTAGAAACAAATGTAAGCTATGAAATATCAAAGAACGAAAGAATAAATGGCGTAAAAGAAAAAAAAAGAAAGAAAGAAAGAAAGAAACATTTTAAAAAAAAAAGAAGATAAAATTTAAACTGGAGATGTCGAAATACACAAGTTTAAATATCTGGGAAATGTTTTCACAGAGGATGGAAATGCGACATTAACACCCGAAAGTGAATGGAGAAAGTTGAACAAATTATTAAAAAAAAAAGGGATTTTTTTTTTTTACAAACAAATAAATGAACTGTGATATAATATCAAACCTCTTGTATGAAAAGGTGGTTCTACAGAAAGACGTTTAGAATTCCATGAATGGGGAATAAAGGCAACGAAGAAATCTTAAGGAAAAAAAAAAAGATTTTTTTTTAGTTTGGTTTAGTTTGGTTTACGGTATATCAACCTCAATGGTTAATTTCATGACAAGATTTTTATTGCTGGTAATATTTTATTTTCAAAAATGTATTGCTGGTAATATTTTTTTTTCAAAAGTGTATTGATGGTAATATCTTTTCCTTCGAAAATGTATTGATGGTAATATTCTTTTCTTCAAAAATGTATTGTTAGTAATATTTCTTTTTCCGTCTATATTTCTGAGATGAGGTATTATGTACATTATTTACATTATTCGGACTATTGTCCTTACCTTTGTCGCCATATTTGTCACAACGTTTCGGCCGTTGTCAAGAACACATGGCACAGTGGATAAAGGCGTTGGTTAGATCCAGTGACATGACCCAAAGAGTGTGAGTTCAATACCCGTTAAGGCAGGGGAGAACTTTCAAAGGGAAAATTAACAGGAGATAACTGACATCCATCAAACACGGCACGTGGAACTAGAACAGTCTACCCCAGTGAGCGAAATAAAGGTTTCAGTTCGACATTCCAACTACCTGAAGAAGGCCGGAGCGTACAACGGCCGAAACGTTGTGAGAAATATGGCGACAAAGATGAGGACAATAGTCCGAATATTATAAATAATTTCTTTTTCCTTCAAAAGTAACTAAACCAAAAATATATTGCTAGTAATATTTTTTCCTTAAAAATATATTACTAGTATTATTATTTCTTAAAAAATATATTACTGTTAATAATGTATTGCTGGTAATAATTTTTCCTCAAAAATGTATTGCTAGTAATAATTTTTTTTTCAAAAATATGTTGCTGATAATAATGTATTGTTGGTAATAATTTTTTCTTCAAAAATTTATTGCTGATATTATCACCTATTTTTATAATTTGATAGTGTTTTGACCCCAGTTTAGGCGTTAACTAGTTGCCCATATTTGGGATCCTAAGACGTGCTACCACGTTGGGCCAGGATGAACCTGGGAACCCCAGCAATTATGAGGTGATTCCATCCTCCTCAAAATCTTCTGATTAGAGGCCTTGCAGTTGGACGTAGTTTATAGTCTAAACCCAGGAAGCGAATGTAGTTTATCCTCTTATGCAGGACGAAAGGAAAATAGAAATATTCAGAACAATTATACTCAGACAGAGAAAGAGATTGCTGAAGTTTCTTGGATATATAATGTTGAAGGAATGCTTTGAAAATTTGGAGGTCCAGATAGACACGAGAAGGCAGTGGCTATCTACCTGACGAGCTTGTATTGTTCGGGGGAAGTCGTCTCTTAGGTACCTAGAATTTATGAATTTAAGCGCAGTACTAGATTGACAGCAAAGTCTCGTCAATTAACACTTGAATTGGCAGAATGTAACCGTTAGTTCTATGCTAACCGCTTCTTTTCTCGCATTTCTCACTTTTGGAACTCTCTTCCGGCTTCATGTGTTCCACTTAAGTTTGATCTTCAAAGATTTAAAAGCAATGTCAACTGTTTCCTACTGTT